TGAGCTTCCAGTGAATCCAGATGCTGATAGATCCTCTTCATGTAAGGATGTGGTTTAGCCAGATGACTCGCCGACACCTTCTTGATGTGAAGCATTTCTAAAATAGCTTTACCGAGCGCTTGGTTCGCCTCTGCGTTTCTGCGTTGCTCCTTTAGGAACAAGCCTTTGACAGGGCACTCCAGCAGGAAGACCACGGTTACATAAAAAATGGCCAAATGCACGCTGCCGAGCATTCTGAGTTTAAATAGGTTTTTTCAACACTGTCTGGAAGCAACAGAGTGTGAGCTGCTGTGGAACTTGTGCTAGCCTCCACCCTGCAGACCGGCGTACGGGTCTGAGCTCTAATAGTCGAGCAGGAGCCACAGGGGCCGTCAGGGCGCTCTGCATCAGTCCATTCCTGAAGCTCAGGAATGTTCTCCCTGTTTGACAAACACTCTGCCTGCAGTGAGCCGAGGCCAAACACATCTGAAGCACAACAGTACATGTGCTATCGTTGCCATAGCAACAAGATGCTTTTTGTTTGGGGTGAGGGTGGGTGGATCAGGTCATAATTAGGGATGTACGATATAATCGGCCCCCTATCGGTATCGGCCTTAAAACTGAATATCGGACATCGGCCACCCCACCGATATTTAACCCGATATTTGATCAGCTTCTGAGTTTCTAAAGTCTAAAAAAAAAAAAAACGGCTTCCTCTCAAACTTCTTTTTTACAGACTTAAAAACTTCTAAAGACGAGGGAAAAAATATTGATACATTAAAATATCCCAATATCATCCTATGCTGATATATTGCCATTTAAAAACACCGTATCAATCTCTTTACTAATGAAATATTGCTATATGTCATCGTTATGCTACGAAATCCCCCGAAAATTCACAAAATTTTGCCATATTTCTATATGTTGATATATTGACGCGGTATCGATCTATTTTACTAACAAAATCTCACAAGAATTTGCAAAATTCAAAAGAGTTTGTAACAGAACGATGAAATTTCAGGAGATTTTGAAAGTAAAATAGATCGATACCGCGTTTTTAAAAATCTATTTGATATCAGCATATGAAAATATATTTGAGTATATTATTTTTCAAAGTGTCAGAAATGGAGAACAAAACTGCTATTTTCAATGACTACTTATTTTTGTCCAGCTTTAACATCGGTATCGATATCGGTTATCGGCTACATGAGTTTGAAAATATCGGCATATCGGATATCGGCCAAAATCCCAATATCGTGCTTCACTAATACAAAGGTTTTTTTGAAAGACTTAACAAATTTTGTTAGTTTATAATTTATTTTTGTGTTTTAGACTTTGTTTTTTCTGAGTTTGATAGTAAATAAAGCCCTTAGTGTATATTTACAATAACAATAGAGGTATGATACTGCAAATTTGTACAGGGGGTAAACAAGGAAGTAGCCTACTCCATCTAAGCTAGTTAGCACCTCTCAGATAAGTGTGGATATCGGCCAAAATCCCAATATCGTGCATCCCTAGTCATAATATTTTAAGTTTAAGCTAATTTCATACATAAAAAAAAAAAAAAAAATCCACTTGAAGACGTCCCATCCAGGAAGCTTTTTCATATCAAAATGGCAGAAATAGAGTTGAGTTTGAGGCTTTATAGAGTTGACCAAAACAAAGCCTCGTTTCGGCTTAGAAAACATGCAAATTGACCCGGATGAACGGGCCCCCCCCCTTTAGGAATGGAGAGTCGTTTGGGTTCTTTGTTAGCCTGCAATGCCCGATACTGGTCTTTGACTCTGAAAGGGGGGTCGTTAGAGGGAATTGTTGGCCTGGATGAACAGGCGAGGTCTTCTGGTCCTCTGTAAGGACAAATAAAACATTCAATATGTCAAAAATTATCCGCCACATATCCAACTCAATAACCATTTAAATTAAATATCTTGTTAACTGAAGATGAAATTAATCACATACTTGTATTTTATTAAGCTGCACTTTGAATATTCGCCATTGTTCGGTGCCATTTCTCTGAGCACAGAGCAGCCGGCTTGCTTACCATGAATCAGGGGATACCCTAAGTTACAAAGTTTATACCAGACCTCTCCTTCAAAATGGGGGAAAAGAGGGCTGCATACTGTATGTCGGCCACATACGAAGGAGTCTTCCAATCCTAACTGGCAAGAACGTCCTGCTTTGATGCAATTAGCCGACGAATCTGGCCTTCGGAGGACGCAGCCGCTGGATTCAAACACAGCAGATGAATGAATGTCTATTAGACATAGACATTAGACAAAGTTTGCTGTAAAACAGACACACCCCCTCACCCCTCCTTTCCCCTTTTGAGGCACAGGGCAGGCTGAGCGTCAGTTACCGTCTTGCATAGCTTAGTGCAGCAGAAGGGAAGTGAGCATGAATAAAAGGAAAAGAGAACTGGCTGCAAACACTATTGTAAAAATGCTAGCATTCCCCATTCTGCACGAGTAGCATATGAGGAGGTTGGACCAACTTTAAGGAAACTGAGGGGACCAAAACTGATGTAATGAACTAAATGTTTAAAGTTTGTATTTGAAGATACAAACTATAGTTATGCTGCTATAGGCTTTGGAAGCTGGAGGACATAGGGACCAATTTTCACCATTCTATGTCTACTGTCCCATTCTGCAGTATTTGTTAGTTCAAGCTCTAACGTCACGTTCTCTCTGCTCGATCGCCTTCGAGTCAATAAATCAATGCAATTAGATAGAAAACTGAATATATAATCTGGTTGAATTCTCTATGGAGTATGAGATGACATGTGTTGTCAATAGGCCCTATAGAAATAAACTGAATTGAAGATTATTTTGATTTACTTAGAGCACCAAGCAGTTTAGATCTGGACTTCATAAACTCAGTCAAATATTATAATCCAACTTTTAAACCCGGTGTAACTTTACCTAACTTTTATTTAATCAAGTAAAATTAAGAACCTACTAGTGGTTCCTAGAATTTCTAAAAGTAGAATGGGAGGCAGATCTTTTAGTTATCAGGCTCCTCTCCCGTGGAACCAACTACCAGTTTTAGTCCGTGAGGCAGACACCCTGTCTACTTTTAAGGCTAGGCTTAAAACTTTCCTTTTTGATAAAGCTTCTAGTTAGAGTGGCTCAGGTTATCCTGAGCTATCTCTATAGTTCTGCTGCTATAGGCTTAGACTGCTGGAGGACATAGGGACCCCTTTTTCATCATTCTGCTTCATTCTATCTCTATTCTCCCACTCTGCAGAATCTGTCAGTCTGGGTTGCTGCTGCTGCTACTTTTAGACACAGCAGGCAAACCTGTGGCAAGCCGGGCGATGGGAGAGAAGGAGAAGACCATGAGAAAAAGAGAGCAGAGAAAGTGTGGACTGCTGGAAGAACTGCGGTGAACTGGTGAAAGAAAAGTGAAATGGCGTGCTCAAAGATGACCCTGCACATTTAGAGGATGTTTGGCTCAACCTGCTGCTGTGAAGCAGGATTCTCCACCATGAACAGAATCAACAATCAATCTGGATCCAGGCTCAAAATGAGCTCCTTGATATGTGCTTGAGAATGGCTTAGTCTCCATTCAAACCCAGGTTTAAAGCCTTGCAGGGCAGCCTAAAGCCCACTGCCAACATTAAGACAGAAAAAAGAAAGAAAAAATAACAAACGGTGCCATTAAATTATACGTAGATTAACGCACAAAGTAACCCCAAAGGGAAGATGAATTGACTTTATCACATTCCAACTGGTTTTCCTCCCCATCTGTAACTGGTCCCATCCTGTGACATCAGGATTAGCTCTTTGAACACAGATAAGTAATGTGGTGGTGTCTTTCTGTTGCCTTTGAAAGTCGAAAATTTCAACTAAAAGTTGGAATAAAGAGTTGCCAATTAAGTTAAAGAGGAAAGTACGTTCTGCCATGAACAGCAGCTAAACTCGACAAAACCGACTTATCCAATACTGCTGATTCTTAGAGATCTATCTCTATTCTCCCACTCTGCAGAATCTGTTAGTTCAATCTCTAACATTCTGCTCTCTCTGCTTTTTCTCACAGTAGCTTCATCTGGTCTGTTCCTGTTTGGCTGTGACTCCTAGATGCTGGAGATTGGCCTGTTTTTCAGTGTAGTCCTGTTTCTCTGACTGAGACTAACTGGATGTGCTCTCTTCATCCTCTGACATGGGAGCTGGCTTGGAGCTCGTCTGCCTGGCTGTGTGTTTCCTGGACGGGGCCGCCTGTGGAGCTGGTTGACAGTTGCCTTTTGTATCTATGCTTCTTTTTCTATGTCTGCTTCCTTCTCCTTGAACCCCAGTGGGCCTCAGCAGATGGCCGCTCACACTGAGCCTGGTTCTGCTGGAGGTTTCTTCCTGTTCAAAGGGAGTTTTTCCTCTCCACTGTCGCTACAAGCATGCTTAGTGTGAGGGATTGCTGAAGAGTCAATGAGGCGATGCAATCAGCCGGTTTTCCTTAGATAGAAAACTTTGAATCAATCTGACTGGATGATCTGGTGAACTGGAAAGAGATGACATGATGTGAACTGGAGCTATAGAAATAAACTGAATTGAAATTATTTGCTTTGATGATATTCTGGGATCCTTTGTGACATCTTGAAATTGAGGAAAGGGGTCTAAAATAAAAAAGCACTTTTGAAAATATTATTTGAGAGCAAAAATATTAACTCTCCTTATTTGTTGTTGGTCTATCACATAAAACCTGTTCAAATAAAGTGAACCTTGTGTTTTAAACAACACAACATGTAGAGTACCATTAGCAAGACCCCAAATAACAACATTTCTACTTTTCCAAGCCTTTTATTTAATCTCTACACTGTTTTTTTCTCTCTGTTCAAGTGTTACCGTACATCAGTGCTGTGCTAAGTCTCTCATCTGTGTCCACTTGTGTTCCCTAATGACAAAGCAACAGATGCTTTAGACCAGACTTTGATCTTCTCAGTCTGTTGCTTGTTTTTGAGTTTTTTCCTTTTCCATGACTGATCCCTCTGCAGTTACGGGACAAAGAAGCTATCCTCAGTTGGCTCTTCCTGTCCCCCCCCCTCCTTAGTCTTCTTGCTCTCGGAGGTGGAGTTAGTTGCTGAGAAGTGAGCCGGAATCTGTCAATGAAGCAGTTGTAGTTTTAAACACACAGCAGGAAGCAGGTAGTGGAGAAGAAGTGATTTTAAAGGATGAGATTCAGGTAAGAACATTCTTTTTTTTCCCAGAGAGCTTTGCTTGTTTTAGAACATCGTTTTAGATGCATTTTTAGTTTTATAGCAACAATCTATCTGCATCATGGGACTTAATGCTAATCTTTCCTTCATCGATAACTCATTTTATGCTTGAATTTCTGTGACATGTACATTTGTAAGGATAAACTTGTTTCTGATTGGTGGAATCTCACTCAACACTTTTGCATTCAAAGAAGCAAACATTATCTTAACACATTAGTGTTTTACTAGTGCCACAGTTTTGCACTTCGCCCCATCTTGGAGCCACTCAGCTCTGGTTGTTTGTTGCAGTCTGGGAGCATCTGAGAGTCTCTTTGTTGCACACTCTGCTATGTGCTGCTGGATGGCGGCCAAGCATTAGCTTGTGTTTTCAGCAGAATACTTTCCTTCTTCCCACCGGCTGTTTTTTTTTCCTCTTTTCTTTGAAATGTGCAAAGCTCTTAGGACCCTGTCATTACTGAAATTAAACGATGCGGCGACCAGATGCATACTGAGCTATGGAGCGGAGCTGTTTGTTGCATGACACGTCACATTCTCTCAGTAATAACTGTTTAAGGGTACTGCAGACTCAGTAGCATCATATAAACTGATTTAACCATCTGATTTAACAATCTTATATGTGATATGAATTGCAGTAAACACAACCTAGATGTTTCATCAAAGAATGAAATGATTCTAGATCTCTATGTTTATGTAAAAAGTATTTCCTACCAATAGATTTCACCTTTTTTGTTGTTTGTTTTTCATCACATTTTGATCTTTTGAAACATGAAAGACGTTGGTTAAGGAGGCTGCATGTTGAAGCAGCTCTGCTTGCTAACTTCAGATATTCTCATTTGAAAGAATTTCAGTTCTGTGGTCGGATCAAAGTTTTTTTTTTTACTGATGTTTTTTAAAGGAAAGGTCCGGTCAGCAAGGAATAATTAATGGATCATTATTTATACCTAAAATTAATACGTTCACTGTGATTTAATGTAATCAGTTTAATCAGGAGAAATAATTTGCTGACTCACGTTTCCAAAGAAGTTGTTGACTCTTTGACTCCAGTCTGTGCGCTGTTGTTCCAGTGTTTGACTGATTCGGTGGAGGGCGGACAGGGTTTACCCAGAATGTGGTTGTTTGTAGGTGAATGGAAAAGCTGACTGCCACTCAGATTTCCTGCAGTACTTGAACTGGTCATAGTGGAGATGAATCCCTTGCTCAGTGTGAAGCTCAAATGACGTCTTGGGGAAAGTGGATCCAAACCTCCAGTTTAAATCCCCAGCTTAGTTTGAAGCTCAGATGATCCTTCCAGGGAGAGAAGGTCCGAAACATCCAGTTTGCAGGATGACTTCCTGCTGACGGGCAAAGATAAAAAAACAAGATTAAGACTCAGGTTGACAAGAACTCAGTTTGACTCAGCAAAACTCAGCTTGGCTAGAGTACCCAAAACTGGCAAACACTCTGGCGTCGAAGTAGTGGCAGTCAGCAGCTTAAGAACGCTCCGCTAACAAGGTAATCTTCTGCATGTGTGTGAGGAGGCGAACCAGAACCAGACACCTCCAGGTGGAGGAAGGGAGACAAACACAGAAACACAAACACACAGACAAGAATCCTGACACTGCCATCTTCTAGCTGTGACATCACGGTGCGGTAAGCCTAGCGCCATTCTCCCCGCTTTACAAGCTAAATCAATGGCAACTACTAGACACATCTGCAATCAACAACAATTATTGAAGATTTCCAGAGGACTTCACCATTGAAATTCACCAGAGCTATAGTGAAACTGACAATGCCCACGTGCATGGCAGCTGGAGGTTGGAATACATCGGGTAAAAGTGAAAAACGGACGGGTTGGTCGTTGGATCGCCAACTTGAAGAGGGAGGATTTGCCATCGAACTTCTGGCCAGAGAAAAAACCCGTAATATGTAGCCAACATTTGGAAGAAGAATGTTTTCAAGATGACTTGGATAATAGCGCGTTGTGACAAACACCAGATACAGCACTGGGACTTGATCAACAGCCGATACCGCACCATGACGTCACTAACCAGTAGGTGGCAGTAGTGTTCTTTGACAAACATGGATGCCTCCAGTAAAGCACATTCACATGAAAATTACTCTGAATTAAAACACTTATAATCAATTGAACAGGTTGGAATAATTTCATATTTAAAGAACTTTCAGGAGTTTGTATTCTGAATGTGAGCGGACTTTTCTTTTAAGCCCTGGTGTTGGATGCTGTGTTTCATTTTTGGACCTTTGTTATATCATATCCGTATCAACCATATAACGTTTTTTTTTTTTTTTTTTTTTTTGTTCTTTTTAAAAATTGCCAGAACAAAATCTGAAATAATAAATAATAATACTTCCATAAATCCCAGCAGAGTTAAATGAGGAACTGGGAATGCAGGAGAAGAGAAAGCAGAACGAAATTCAAGTCAACTCATTCATCAATCATTACGGGTCTTCCTGAAAAAGATCCTTCCTGTCTACAACATATCATTTAAAAAGCTGAATTACTATAACATTTAATTTCCCTTTGGGATTAACAAAGTGTTTTTTATCTGAATTGCATTACTAAACATTCTGCCTCTCTCATGCAAACAATACACGTAGACAACACTGTTAAAATCTTAACAGTGTTGTCTACGTGTATTGTTTGTATTGTAATCTTAAAAAGAGTCTCAGTCATCCAGGTCTAAGTCATTCCAAAAAAGTAAAAAAAAAAACAATCCACTGGGCTTTATTTCCAGGTTTGAAGACGTTTTGCTTCCCATCCAGGAAGCTTTTTCACTTCATAGTGGCAGAAATAGCGCTAAGTTTGAGGCTTTAAAGAGTGGACCAAAGCAAAGCTTTGTTTTAGCTTAGAAAACATGCAAATGTAACCGGACGAACAGTCCGTCCCTTACGAATGGGGCAGTCGTTAGGGTTCTTTGTTAGCGTGCAATACCCAATACCTGTCTATGGGGTATGAAAAGCTCATTTACCAGGTCATAACATAGAGGTATGGGTAAAAAAAAGTGCTTTGGTGAGGCTCAAAATCTTGTTGCTAGGCGGATTTTGCTTCTTTTTAATTTATATATATGTTTTTGCCTTAGATCGAACAAATGTAATGCCTGGAAGAAGTAATGTCTCATCTCTATGACGGAGCTACTAGGATCTGGTGTTTTTAGCCTGCTTCCCTTGCTGGTGCAGAATGAGGCTATAAGGAGGCCTTAGTCCTCGACGCGGCCGACCCGGGTTTGAATCCGACCTGTGGTCCTTTGCCGCATGTAGTGTTAATTTTAGCAGCCATTTTTAAATTTAGTTTCAGTTTTAGTCCAGTTTCAGCATTGCTTGTTAGTTTTTATCACACTTAGTCGACATCATCCCATTTTTATTTAGTCTAGTTTTAGTCGACTTTAAGTCGAGCATTTTAGTCTTTATTTTAGTCCAAGAAAACATTATTTTATTCGTTTAGTTTTAGTCAACAAAAACTGTCAACATTTTAGTCTAGTTTTAGTCAGGACATAATTTTAACCTTTTACTTTTTTGTTAACATTTCCTAAAATAATTTCACATTTCAACATTTTCTCTCATCTTTTAAAAAGACACAATTTTAAGGAACACATGCAGACATGGAAGATGTTCTGACAATATTTATTTTGAACATTGTTAAAGGAATAGTACACCCAAAACATGATTAGCCTTCATTTTCTACTCACCCCCATGCTGAACAACCCTCTGGAGTACTTTTTTGATATCTCAAATGCATCTGGAGATCTGGGAGGCTTCTTGCTGTCTGCTGACATTCAAATAATGGAGGTCTATGGCGCCCGAGGCAGAAAGGTCCATAAAAGTCCACAAAAAACGTGTCAATATTCCTCCATACTGCTCGTCCAATGTATTCCAAGTGTCCTGAGTGGGTAGCATCCATAATTTACTCGAAACGAAGTCATTTAGAATGTTTTTAGAGCATAAACAGTAGTGTATAGGATTTCCTGAAAGCGCGTTCACGAGTCTACGGAAACCGCGGCAGACCAAACCAGATGAAAGTGCGCATTCAGCGTCTGCTCTGCCGATAATGCAAGCGTAGAAGAAGAAATGTGCTGTTTACCTGTGCAAAGAAAGAAACAACAAAAGAAAAATGTCTGAGGACTTCAGTGTTGAGGAAGAGCATGAGTTCTTTGCCGAGCTGAATGCGCACTTTCATCTGGTTTGGTCTGCCGCGGTTTCCGTAGCGTCGTGAACGCGCTTTTAGGAAATCCTATACACTACTGTTTATGCTCTAAAAACATTCTAAATGACTTCGTTTCGAGTAAATAATGGATGCTACCCACTCAGGACACTTGGAATACATTGGACGAGCAGTATGGAGGAATATTGACACGTTTTTTGTGGACTTTTATGGACCTTTCTGCCTCGGGCACCATAGACCTCCATTATTTGAATGTCAGCAGACAGCAAGAAGCCTCCCAGATCTCCAGATGCATTTGAGATATCAAAAAAGTACTCCAGAGTGTTGTTCAGCATGGGGGTGAGTAGAAAATGAAGGCTAATCATGTTTTGGGTGTACTATTCCTTTAAGAGCATTAGTGGTTCTATATCATTATTGTTTTGTTTGTATATCAGTAGTTTTCTTTTGTTGTGCTGTTATGATTTTTTTTAGACATTATGATTGGAAATTAGAATATTGAGTTATTCACTGTAATTAAAATGACCTAAAACTAATTATTGATAATTGCGATTTAGTGCTACCAGCTTTTACTCCATATAATAGAAAATTTTGACTAGTTTACAACTATAAACTTATTTTATCAAATCTGAGAGAATTTAAACCAGTTGAGGTCCTGGTCTTTGTTTAAACACGACTAAATATAAACAATTTTAATATATAACTGCAATTGGTCATAAATCATAAATGTTTCTATATTGTCAAGCTGTTAATTCAAAATATTTGTTAAAGTTTTATGCTTGAGAGAAGCAGATGATGTATAAAAAAAAGAAC